TTCATGGTTCTCTCTGCGCTTTAAACAGAACCCTGAGACTATCAAAGAGCAGGTGCATTTATACGGAGACTTGATTACACACAGGTGCATTCTATTTATCATCATCAGTCATTTAGGACAACATTGGATCATTCAAAGATCCTCACTGAACTTCTGGAGTGAGTTTGCTGCACTGAAAGTAAAGGGGCCGAATAATATTGCACGCCCCACTTTTCAGTTTTTTATTTGTTAAAAAAGTTGAAATTATCCAATAAATTTCGTTCCACTTCACGATTGTGTTCCACTTGTTGTTGATTCATGACAAAAAATTAAAATTGTATATCTTTATGTTTGAAGCCTGAAATGTGGCGAAATGTTGAAAGGTTCAAGGGGGCCGAATACTTTCGCAAGGCACTGTATCTCTCTCTCTGGTATCTCTCTCTGGTCTCCCTCTCTCTCTCTGGTCTCTCTGGTCTCTCGCTCTCTCTCTCTCTCTCTGCTCTCTCTCTCGCTCTCTCTCTCTGCTCTCTCTCTGGTCTCTCTCTCTGGTCTCTCTCTCTGGTCTCTCTCTCTCTGATCTCTCTCTCTCTCTGGTCTCTGTGATGTTATTCTGATCTTTGCTCAGATCTCTCTCTCTCCCTGTCTCTCTGGTCTCTCTCTCTGGTCTCTCTCTCTCTGGTCTCTCCCTCTCTCTCTGTGATGTTGATGTTGGTCTGACCTTTGCTCAGAGCTGCGGGTGAAAGGCCTCATAAACATGATGTAATTTAATATTTACAGAGGCATCAGAAGTTTTCATAACCCGTGAACCTCCACCTTTTGTCACAAGACCCCAAACAAGTTTTATTTGGATGTTTTCTTGGTAAAAGACAGACTGGAGACCAAAGAGAGACGGGAGAGAGAGACAGACAGGAGAGAGAGACAGACGGGAGAGAGAGACAGACGGGAGAGAGAGACAGACGGGAGAGAGAGACAGACGGGAGAGAGAGACAGACAGGAGAGAGAGACAGACAGGAGAGAGAGACAGACAGGAGAGAGAGACAGACAGGAGAGAGAGACAGACAGGAGAGAGAGACAGACAGGAGAGAGAGACAGACGGGAGAGAGAGACAGACGGGAGAGAGAGAGGGAGACAGACGGGAGAGAGAGAGAGAGACGGACGGGAGAGAGAGAGAGACAGACGGGAGAGAGAGAGAGACAGACGGTAGAGAGAGACAGACGGTAGAGAGAGACAGACGGGAGAGAGAGACAGACGGGAGAGAGAGACAGACGGGGGAGAAAGACGGAAGAGAGAGAGACGGGAGAGAGAGACGGAGAGAGACAGTAGAGATGGAGCAGAGAGAGATCAGAGAATATATGTGCTTATAAAGAAGATATGGAACTTTATGATTCTTGGAACAATGAAGCTTAAACTATCACAAAGAGAAAGAGATCTGCCACTTTTCTGGAAACGACTGGGACTTCCTTCCTGACCTCGAGGAACCTGCCGTGAGCCCAGACTAGACAGAAGAGAAGGGGAGAGGGGCGAGAGAGACGGGAGGGCGAGAGAGACGGGAGGGAGAGAGAGACGGGAGGGAGAGAGAGACGGGAGAGAGGGAGACGGGAGAGAGAGAGACGGGAGAGAGAGAGACGGGAGAGAGAGAGACGGGAGAGAGAGAGACGGGGGGGGAGAGAGAGGCGGGAGAGAGAGAGAGGGGAGACAGGGAGAGAGAGACGGGAGGGAGAGAGAGACGGGAGAGAGACGGAAGAGAGACGGGAGAGAGACGGAAGAGAGAGAGACGGAAGAGAGAGAGACGGAAGAGAGAGAGACGGAAGAGAGAGAGACGGGGGAGAGAGAGAGAGAGAGACGGGAGAGAGAGACTGAAGGGAGAGAGACAGAGTAGAGAGACATCAGAGAATAAATGTGCTCATAAAGAAGATGTGGAACTTTGTGACAGTCTATGTGTAATTGTTCTAAGAATCATAAAAAACGAGATCTGCCACTTTTCTGGAAACGACTGGGACTTCCTTCCTGACCTCGAGGAACCTGCCGTGAGCCCAGACTACACCTCCCACAATGCAACTCTCCTCCCACACGGCTCACTGAGCAAAGGTCTGCTTCATTCACAAAACCATGTCAGACTGAGAGCCGGGATCATGGGCTGGAAGTTGTGGAGGTTCTGGACCAGCGGCTCGGACCAGGAGGAGCTGGTGGACCCCGGTGAGTCTGGACCACAGAGAGGACGGAACTTAGCTTTTTAAAGTTTTTTGACGAGAAAAACGGCCTCAAAATATTGTTCTTTCCTCGGATTCTGTCAATGTTTACAGGATATTAGTTCTTCCTCGTCATCCACAAACTGTTTTCAGAGCT